TTAACACCTTCAACATGCGTTCAGTGGACAAATGTGACATGCAGTTTGGGGTTTGCTGATTGTGTTCGCAAGATTTTATAAGTGGTACATAAAACTCTTTTTTCCATCTTCTGACATTTCCATGCTCAATGCTTATAACATGTATAAGATGAGGACCAGAAACAAACCACAATATGGCGAATTCTTTTTGTCTGTCATCAGAACAAATAGTTATTCAAGTACCAAGGAAGAACACCTGTAATAAACCGCCCACCAAATTATCAACAACTACCTTCTCATCTGAAGCATAGTGATCACTTCCTAGTAAAACTGCCTGCTACTGCTTCAAGAAAAAGGCTCAGAAGAAGTATTACTCCTGTGCACACACAAGAAACGCCCAAACAACACAGAGACACTCGTTTTAAGTGTGAGAATGTAAAACACCACTGTGCATGACACCATGTTTCAAAGAGTTCCACAGGCTGCAGAACTTCTAGAAACATTCCCTGTGACTGTAAAAAGTGTATATAAAATTTAAAAAAAAGTAATAAACAACATTTCATATCGTTTTTTTTGTGTAAATATTTTCTCTAAACAAAACAATGGCAAGAGTGTTTACGCCCTTATTGTGTAGTATTGAAAAAGAAAAAACTTACAAAATACTGATCATGTTGGCCTCAGAGGCCATAAAAGTTACTTGGAAAAAGAAAAATTAAAAAATAATAGAAAATAGTACATAAAACAGTAAATAAAAGAATACCGGGAGACGGCAGTCGGCGATGTTGCCACATTGTCCCCCTTTTTCGTCAACTTCACGCCTCCATATCTCGGTAAGTATTGATGGTAAAAAATTTTTGTTTAGCCTATAATATTTAGAAAAAAAAACTATTTTTTCATAAGAAAAAATAATTTTTTTCTTTTTTGAAATTTGGCCTTTCCTGAGAATGAGTCTCTGAGAGGACCTGTCGACCCTCAAAGGGTTAATGAAGATCTGGTGATGATTGATGGGATGGGAGGAGGGGAGAGTGTGGATGGTGTTAGTGTTTAGAAGGGGAATCCCCTTCTATTAGGACTTGAACTGGCAGCCTCACCATGCCTTACCACACTATGTATGCCACTACGATTCTTAAATCTTTCAAACCAACCTTTGCTGGCCTGAAATTCACTCACATCACCACTAGTTGCAGGCAATTTCTTTACCAAATCATCATGCACTCCGACACACGCACTCCACTTTTGAGTTTGCAATTATCTCTTTCTTCATTTCAATAGTCATTAGCACCTTTTTTCTCGAAGGGTTGGCACTAGAAGCTTTCTTGGGGCCCATGGTTACTTATTTTGCAGAAACAAGCACCAAAAACAGAGATAACATAGATAATATGGAATGTACCAAATGTATCCTTAAATGCGTGCACACTGGCTGGCTTGTAAACACTGGCACACACGGTGCAGTTCAGGCCACATGTGGACACGTCTCATACGAATCGTATCGAATGTCGGGTTTTCCATCGAATGTCGAGGCGAAATTTATGCGTAAAAATGCATCAAATGTCGGATTTATCAAATGTTGATGCCATCGAATGTTGGGGGTCCACTGTATTTATTTATTTTATTATTATCACACTGGCCGATTCCCACCAAGGCAGGGTGGCCCGAAAAAGAAAAACTTTCACCATCATTTACTCCATCACTGTCTTGTCAGAAGGGTGCTTTACACTACAGTTTTTAAACTGCAACATTAACACCCCTCCTTCAGAGTGCAGGCACTGTACTTCCCATCTCCAGGACTCAAGTCCGGCCTGCCGGTTTCCCTGAACCCCTTCATAAACGTTACTTTGCTCACACTCCAACAGCACGTCAAGTATTAAAAACCATTTGTCTCCATTCACTCCTATCAAACATGCTCACGCATGCCTGCTGGAAGTCCAAGCCCCTCGCACACAAAACCTCCTTTACCCCCTCCCTCCAACCTTTCCTAGGCCGACCCCTACCCCGCCTTCCTTCCACTACAGACTGATACACTCTTGAAGTTATTCTGTTTCGCTCCATTCTCTCCACATGTCCGAACCACCTCAACAACCCTTCCTCAGCCCTCTGGACAACAGTTTTGGTAATCCCGCACCTCCTCCTAACTTCCAAACTACGAATTCTCTGCATTATATTCACACCACACATTGCTCTCAGACATGACATCTCCACTGCCTCCAGCCTTCTCCTCGCTGCAAACATTCATCACCCATGCTTCACACCCATATAAGAGCGTTGGTAAAACTATACTCTCATACATTCCCCTCTTTGCCCTCATGAATTCTATGATTCACCTCATCTTTCATAGACCCATCCGCTGACACGTCCACTCCCAAATATCTGAATACATTCACTTCCTCCATACTCTCTCCCTCCAATCTGATATCCAATCTTTCATCACCTAATCTTTTTGTTATCCTCATAACCTTACTCTTTCTTGTATTCACTTTCAATTTTCTTCTTTTGCACACCCTACCAAATTCATCCACCAATCTCTGCAACTTCTCTTCAGAATCTCCCAAGAGCACAGTGTCATCAGCAAAGAGCAACTGTGACAACTCCCACTTTATGTGTGATTCTTTATCTTATAACTCCATGCCTCTTGCCAAGACCCTCGCATTTACTTCTCTTACAACCCCATCTATAAATATATTAAACAACCACGGTGACATCACACATCCTTGTCTAAGGCCTACTTTTACTGGGAAATAATTTCCCTCTTTCCTACATACTCTAACTTGAGCCTATTTATATTGTATTTATATTGTTTATTATGTCAAATTAGATCAATTGTGATAGGCAAATCAGCTGTAGTGTTTATATTAGTGTAATAAAGCATATTCTCCTGCTTCATGAGACTGAGTTCATGACAACTGACAGTGGCTTCAAAGCCACCTTATCTTTAATTGATAATGTACAGTGGACCCCCACTTAAAGATCACCTCCCAATGCGACCAATTATGTAAGTGTATTTATGTAAGTGCGTTTGTACGTGTATGTTTGGGGTTGTGAAATGGACTAATCTACTTCACAATATTCCTTATGGGAACAAATTCGGTCAGTACTGGCACCTGAACATACTTCTGGAATGAAAAAATATCGTTAACCGGGGGTCCACTGTACGTACTGTGTAGGTGCTTTACATAATGAGAAGCATTTCTTTTATTCATTGGAACCATGGCTAGGGCTAAAAGTAAGCAGGTTATAACAATAAATGGAGAAAAAGAAATTGGAATGACTTATGCAGCAAGTAGCACCACAAAACAGTACCAGCAGGTTGGTGTGGCAACCCTGGAAATTTGAAATTATGCTTACCAAAATTAGTGCCGAATAACTGAATAACTGATTGCCGGATTTGTGATGGAGGACCTGTATTTCATGTGGCAAAAATACTTTTTTTTCATACTTTTGAGAGTCTTGAACGGATTAATTTGATTTCCATTATTTCTTATGGGGAAAATTAATTCGACTTACGATAATTTCGTCTTACAATGTGCTCTCTGGAACGAATTAATATCGTAAGTCGGGGGTCCACTGTATTACAATAATGCAGTGGTCTGCAAAACGGTCAATCTTCTATTTTTAGTGTGAATAAAAATTCAAAAATGGAAAGCAAGAATAATACAAGAGAGGTCTGGGGACATAACTAAGGAACAGAGAAAATGTTTTTTAGTGCCAGGAATGTTTACACCACTTATTCTAGACCCTAATTTTAAATTGGCATTTTTTAATTTTGTAAAATGTGTCAAATTACTGATTTCTTATCACTTTATTGGCTAGTTGAAATACGTAATCGGCAGTTTCTTCTACTCAATCAATAGAATAGAAGGAATACTAACAAAATACCTACGAGTTTGGTCAACTGAAACAATAGAATTGGCCAAAAATAGGGCTCAAAGTGGGCGAAATTGCTGATGTGTAAATGTAGCTGAGACCACTAACTTGTGAGAGCATAATTCTGTAAGTCTCCTACCAAATTTTGTAAATTTGGTTTCATTACCTTTGGAAAAAGATTCTCTTATCATTTCATAAGAAAAAACATTTTTTTTTTTAAATTGTTCGACCCTAAGAGTAAGTTTGAGATCAGTGGTCTTGGCCCTCAAAGGGTTAAGGTACGATTATATCTGCTAAATGTTTTGGAGATCATTGCCCAAGTGATCTGGTCCTGGAACAGTCTTCCTCAATTTAATAGGTATTACAAAACTAGAAACTCTTAAGAAATACAATAAAGTATAAAAATGAGAGTAGGTATAAGTAAGATTTACTGCTCAGCTTAAGTGTTCATGAGACAGTGAAAGAAGGCCAGCAATCCAGAGTGCAAAATGTTTAACAGGCTTTCATTTTCCAGTGACCACAGAGGAAAGTAGTAGCTAACAAAAATCAAATACAGTGGTACCCTGAGTACCCAACTCCACCAATTATGTAAATGCAGTATTGTAAGTGCTTTTGGAAGTGTATTTTTGGGGGTCTGAAATGGATTAATCTAATTTACACTATTCCTTATGGGAACAAATTCGTTCAGTAACGGCACTCGAACAGCCTTCTGGAACGAAGAAAGTTTGAAACTCGGGGTACCACTGTATTTTGTACAAGCATGATAAACTGAAAAACAGCTTTTTCAGGCTGGACTACAGAACTGAAGAACTGCAGAGGTCCTCAGATGGAAGAGAAATCTGGCATTACTGAAACCAGGAAAATAATCATTTAACATAGCAAAGAATCTGTCAATAATCTGTGTAATACCGCTAAATGCTTTCATAAGTGGCAGTCATACAGCCGGGATAATGGTAACACTTCACTGCTGACTGCCTCACCAACCAGGCTATTGCTTCCTGGAACTCACACACCTGTACATAAGCAATCTAACAAATCAACTTTCTCACAACATGAGTTAGTTTAACATTCCTTTTAACTAGAAAGAAAATATAAGGTTATATATCTTCTTGGAAGATGGTATCTAATAAGACAATTCACTTTAAACAAAAATGACATACCAAGCTCTAACTTTATATCTAATGAAGGAAGCCCAGGTGGAGATTTGTTTCGGTATTGAGACAAGGGAGATTTCTCTCTTGAGTGAGATCTTACTGGAGAGCTGTCTGGAGAAATTTTGTATGACTCTCTTGGAGACCTTTTAATATATCTCTCTGGAGAGCTGGTAGGAGATTCCTTAGGTGATCGTTTAGACAACCTCAAGGAACTGTGACCGATTTCATGCACTGAGGACCTAGATCTTGATGGCCCTGGTGATGGTGAGCTAGATGGAGATCTGTAACAAGAAAAAGTGTCAATATCAATGTAACCTTGTAAGTACGTGTCTATAAATGCATCCAAATCTATTTAATGAAGATGTGTGTGTATGTCTCCATGGGGAAGTGGAACAGAATTCTTCCTCCGTAAGCCATGCGTGTTGTAAGAGGCGACTAAAATGCCGGGAGCAAGGGGCTAGTAACCCCTTCTCAAGTATAAATTACTAAATTTAAGAGAAACTTTCATTTTCCTTTTTGGGCCACCCTGCCTTGGTGGGATACGGCCGGTGTGTTGAAAGAAAGAAGAAGTGTGTGTATGTGTACTCACCTAATTGTGGTTGCAGGGGTCGATTAATAGCTCCTAGCCCTACCTTTTCATTGGTTGCCAGTAGGTCTACTCTCTCCCTGCTGCATGAGCATTATCATACCTCTTCTTAAAGCTATGTATGGTACCTGCCTCCACTACCTCACTTTCCAGACTATTCCACTGTCTGACAACATTATGGCTGAAGAAATACAGTGGTACCTCGGGATACCAACACCTCAAAACTTGAACAATTATGTAAGTGTGTTTATGTAAGTGCTTTTGTAAGTGTATTTTTGGAGGTCTGAAACGGATTAATCTAATTTACATTATTCCTTATGGGAACAAATTTGTTCGGTATCGGCACTCGAACAGCCTTCTGGAATGAATTAAGTTCGTATCCCGAGAAAGAGCTTAGATCTAGGTGAAATACTGGAGGCCTTAAAGAGTGCCGACAAAGCTCCTTTGCATAAGGGAGGTAGTAGAGCACTGGCTAATTTTTTTTTTTTATTTAAAACATTACAATACAAGGTGGAAATTATATTAAAAGGTACACAAAATGAGTTAACCCTTTCAGGGTCCAAGGCCAAAATCTGAAGTGGTGCCCCAGTGTCCAAGAATTTTCAAAAAAAAAATTGTTATTTTTTTCTTATGAAATGGTAGAGAATCTTTTTGTGAATGTAATAAAACAAAAAGTACGAAATTTGATGGGAAATTGACGAAATTATGCTCTCGTGAATTTTGATGTGTCAGCGATATTTACGAATCGGCGATTTTGCCGACTTTGACTCCCATTTTAGGCCAATTACATTATTCCAGTCGACCAAATTCTTAGCTATTTCACTAGGATTACTTCTATTCTATCGATTGAGCACAAGAAATTGCCAACTCAACTGTTTCAACTACAAAATAAAGTGATCAGAAATTGGTAATTTGGCCAATTTAACACAAAGTTCAAAATATTCCAATTTCAAAATAGGATCCAGAATAAACAATGTAGGCATTCCTGGCACTAAACTAACATTTCCTCTGTTCATTAGTTACGTTTTGAGGCTTTACAAATAAATTCCATTTTGATTTTTTATTCACATAATGAATTTTTATTCACACCAAAAAATAGAAGATTTACTGTTATGCAATATTGTAATAATTGTATAAATATCATCACCACATTTGTGAATGTATATTAGACCCACCAGCTGGTGTGTATTAGAGTGTGAGGTCGTTTGTTTACTCTTGAACATCGGTAAAAATTTAACATTTCCGCCACTTTGAGCTCAGTTTCAAGCCATTTCCAGTGCTAAAACCAATCAAAATTATCTCTATTTCTGTAATATGTCTTCCATTCTATCAAATGAGACCAAGAAATCACAAATACAACTATAAAAAACATACGAAAAAACACTGCAAAGTCGCTGTTTTAATCGAAAATCACGGTCTCAGTTTTTTTCCTTTCATTATACACAGTGTGCTGCAGGATTTGTTTTATGTGGTGCACACATACCACATAGATGTATTCTCTCATATCTAGGCCCAAATGTACCACTCACAGTTTATCAGAGTGAGCTGAGCTCATGACGTAGATCTACGGTTTGGACCCTGAACGTAAAGCCGTAGATCTACGGGACGGACCCTGAAAGGGTTAAATCACAAATCCCCAATTTACCCTTACACAAAAATGACTACACTAGACAAAAGTGTTCTGACACCCTGTCACTCCACACAACATACTACACCCAGTGTTATACCAAAATGATATACCTGTAAAGGCTTATACTTTTGTCACAATTACACCATCCACCCACCCACAAAATAATATAACCATCACCAACCTGACTGCATCTTAACTTGACATTAAAGGATACATAGTAATTATACTATCATGAGTGATACAGTAACACCAGAGACAAAAATTATTAACCCTTTGACTGTCGCAACCCCCAATCCTGAGGTGTCTCCTGGTGTCGCAAAATTTAAAAAAAAAAAATTATTTTTTCTTATGAAATGATAGAGAATCTTTTCCCGATTGTAATGACACCAAAAAAACGAAATTTGATGGAAAACTGACGGAATTATACTCTCGCGAAGTTAGCGACCTCGGCGCTGTTTACAAATCGGCGATTTCGCCCACTTTGAGCCCTATTTTCGGCTAATTCCATTGTTCCAGTCGCCCAAACTCATAGCTATTTCTTTAGAACTCCATTTTTTTCTATTGATTGAGTACAAGAAACTGCCCATTTACCGATTTCAACTACCTAATAATGTGGTCAGAAATTTGCAATTTGGCCAATTTCACGAAAACTAAAAAATATGACAATTTCAAAATAGGGTCCAGAATGAACAATGCAGACATTCCTGGCCCTAAAATAACATTTTCTTTGCTCATCAGTCATGTCTCCAGGCCTCTCTGATATTACTCTTGCTTTCTATTTTGAATTTTTATTCAAACAAAAAATAGAAGACTTACTATTATGCAGACTACTGCAATACTGTAATAATTGTATAAATAACATCAACCCATTCATGACTGCATATTAGAATGGCTAGTTGGACATTTATTGGACAATGGCATCATTTGTTTACTTTTGAACATTGGCAAAAATCAAACATTTCCCCTACTTTGAGCTCCATTTCTAGGTTCTTTTTATAGTAAAATCAATCAAAATCACCTCTATTTCTATAATATGTTTTCCATTCTATCAAATGAGACCAAGAAAACGAGAATACAATCATAAATACTATACGAAAATAGACCACAATGTTGGCATTTTAATTAAAAAAATCGGTCGGAGTTTTTTTTTCTCATTATGCACTGCGTGCTCCAGGATTTTTTTTATATGGTGCACACTGATCACACAGACCCATTCTCTCACATGTGGGCCTACCAGCTTCCTCCTGCTTGATTTGAAGCCGCTAGAATTTATGAGTATATATACGTCAAACACGGTACCTCGTAAGACATATATATACGGCCGCGACAGTCAAAGGGTTAATAACAATATTAACAATGGGATACATGTCTTTACTTAACACAATGACACCTCAACCTGGTGAAAGAAAATGCACTTCAAATGATTAATACTTCTAAGAAGGTTGCAACAATGAATGTCAACATCTCCCAAAGGCAACTTATATGCAATTATCTTAGCATGTAAATTCTGTCACAGCTGCTGAACCATTATGACAGAATTACGGAGGCACTGGAAGACGACCAAAACGCAGATGTGATTTACACAGATTTTGCAAAGGCGTTTGACAAATGCGATCATGGAGTGATAGCACATGAAATGAAGGCCATGGGCATTACGGGGAAGGTAAGCAGATGGATTTTCGGTTTCCTAACACACAGAACACAAAAAGCAGTAGTGAACAGGGCAAGATCCAGCATCATTGAGGTCAAAAGCTCAGTGCCCCAAGGCAGTGTCCTGGCACCTCTACTGTTTCTCACCCTCACAGCAGACATAAACAAAAACACCCGGCACACTTTTGTATCATCATTTGCAGATGACACTAAAATAAACATGAAAGTTAGTACGGTAGAGGACACTGAAAAATTACAGGAAGACATAAACAGGGTTTTCCAGTGGGCAGTGGAGAACAACATGATGTTCAATGGTGATAAGTTCCAGCTGCTTAGGTATGGAAAGAATGAAGAACTCAAATGGAGCACTATATACAAAACTCATGAGGGTCACCAAATAGAACGTAAGGAACACGTAAAACACCTAAGAATAATTATGTCAGCGGACCTTTCTTTTAAAGACCATGACAAGACAAAGATCACGACAGCCAGGAAGATGACGGGGTGGGTATTGAGAACTTTCAAAACAAGGGAAATATTGCTGATGGTGACACTCTTCAAATCGCTAGTGCCCCCTCAGTTAGAATATTGCTCAGTGCTGACAACCCCATTCAAGGCAGGAGAAATATCGAAGCTGGAACAAATACAGAGATCGTTTACAACTCACACTGAGCCAGTAAAGCACCTAAACTACTGGGAATATCTGCAAGTCTTGAACATGTACTCATTGGAGTGGAGGAGAGAGAGGTATATGATAATATATACCTGGAAGGTACTCGAGGGCTTGGTCCCAAATCTGCACACTGCCATAACAACATACTGGAGTGAGAGATATGGGAGGAAGTGTAAAATAAACCCAGTGAGGAGCAGGGGTGCGGTGGGGACAATAAGGAAACACTGTATCAACATCTGGGGTCCCAGACTTTTCAACATCTTACCAGAAGATATCAGAAACACTGTTGGAACAAGTGTAGAAGCCTTCAAGAGGAAACTGGACAAGTATCTTCACCAGGTGCGAGATCAACCAGGCTGTGATGGATATGTGGGGCAGTGGGCCTCCAGCAGCAACAGCCTGGTTGACCAGGCACACAAGAAGAGCCTGGCCCATGGCTGGGCTCAGAGAGTAGATAAACTCTCGAAACTCTTCAAAGGTATATCAAAGGTAAGGTACCACTGTACTTCCTAACATCCCTTCAACTTCCAATTGTAACTCCTTGTTGCTGTGTCCCATCTCTAGAACATCCTCTCTCTGTCCACCTTGTCAATTCCTCTCAGAATTTTATAATGTTATTTATTATCATGCCCCTCCCCCCCTCGTCCTTCCTGTCCTCCAGTGTCGTCAGGTCAAGATTTTTTTTTTTTTTTTTTTTTTTTTTTTTTTTTTTTTTGTGTGTGGTGTGTGTGTGTGTGTGTGT